AGGAACATATTTTGTGGTTGTAATTCTTCTGTTCATCAAAATGTTGAGACAATTGGTACTTTCTTTATGAAAATATAAAAAAATTAAGTAGTAGGGCTCATCTGGAGTAGCTCCCACTGTGATTGTGATGGTATACTGATGTTATACCTCTGTCTAGTTATACCTGAAGTGCGTCATCTAAGAACTACATTACACTGATTAGCTGGGATGTCTTTTATGAAGATGTGGGGATTTATACTTTTCGGAGTTGCTGATTTTTTGAAAAAAGAGCTTTAGAAGCAGCTATATCCTAAATTTCAGTCTTAAACAACTGTGGTAGAAGGCAAAAGTGTGGTAACATATGTATGTAGTGGGTGTATTTCATTGCTTTTATACTTTGTTTATCATTTATGACTTAAAAACAAGACTAGTTCCCCGTGCTGAGTTTGGTCTAGGTTCTTACAGCACAAGCTGTTTAGAGAAATGGTGAGAGCTTACAGTCTGTTTCCTTTCTCTTTTGTTTTCTGTGTCAGCCCCCTCTTTTGCGGGCACATATGCTCACAATTGATGCACACACACTTTCGCTGTTGCAGTGCAGGAGAAATGTAGGAGCAAGAATGTGTGGGTGGAACTTCAGAGTCACAAAAACAAATCAACAACAAATGTAGCATTGGCAGATGTGGCCTCTGCTGTCCAGTAAAATCCTTTTTTCACTAATATGTTGTGCACTTTAAAGTGCACTAAGGTGTTAAAGGTGGTTATAGTTTATTTTTAATCTTTTCAGCAAGGTAAAGATACTATAACCTAAAGTCTTTGGATAATTACACACTTTATGGTGGTTAGTAGGTTTCAAAAGTAAGTACTCGACTGCAGAGGGTCATTGTGTTCTCATCTATGTGTTAGGGTACATCCCTAGCCATCTATCAGTTGTGTTTAAGAGTGAGAGGAAAAAACCTCTACTCCAAATATAAAAAACTGCAAGAATGCTTTGTGCTTGCATACTCATTTACTGTTTACCACTAAAACTGACAGACTACTATAATTTCATTCTGGGGGTGTTACAATGTAACAACATTCTTCCTGGACTGTACTGCTCTGGAAGTCAACAGCATGCTGTAGAATTTAAAGTAAGTATAAAAACTGTTTCCCTCTACAATTAAAAACTCTGAGCACATCCTGATTTTTGTAGGCTTTTGAAGTAAAGGGAAAGCTATACATAAAGTAAATTTTAAAAGTTTCTTCCAAGCATCTCATTAATCTCTTCTTGAGCCTTCTACTTTTTAAACAACTGATAAGAGACTCTGCTGTTAAGATATTAAAATACGTAAACAAATGTTCAGTTTTATTATATGGCTGTTCCTAACAAAATTGATCAAAATTTATAGTAGACTACACAGTGGAATCGATTTACATTGTTCTGATTTCTTACTTGAGGAAAGTGCTGAAAAGAAGGAAGAGTGGCTTTGAGTCACAATATGCCTTAACAAACAGAGGCAAAAAGTTGGCAGTATCAGTTATTGCTTGTCTCAGTGCAAATAAAGCAATTAGTGTTGAAAATCCCACACAAATGCAGATCACTTTCCCAGAAAATGTGCAATTCGTTAGAGTGAGAGCCCCATCTATGCTGCCAATTAGAAATGAAAATTTGGGTTTCTTGATGGAGTTGTCTGACAGGGACTAGTGCACCATTTAGCTATGATTACCTGGGTCTAGATGTATATAACTAAAATAGTGGCAGGAACCATCGCATTTCTGATACTTTCTAAACCTGCTGTATTGGTCTTAGCATCTGGGTTTGTTAAAGCCTGACAGCCTTCAAAGCTCATTGGGGTTTGATGCATTGATGCATTCAGATGCATCATCAGATGAAACTTGTACAGCCTCTTCCAGTAATTTGTTTATCCTGAAAACATCACTTCCTTTTACATTTTGGTGTTGCCGGCACTGCTTAAAAGCCCATGTTTCCCATTGCTTGGTTTATCTGGAGGTTTGCCATTGTTACAGTAGCATGTCATGCTTTCTTTCCTTGTGAAACCACTGCTGGGCCGTCTGGGGCTAAAAACTGCTGGGATGGAGACTACTGGTTGCTCTAACTACCTATTTTCCTGAAGAGTGTTAGTGTCCTGCCTCTTTTGCTGACTGGTCAATTCAACAGGCATAATTAAACTGGAAGATACAATATTTCCCAGAAATGGGAATGGTATGCCCCCCTTTCGTCTCTTCAGCCAATTCAGCTTTTAAGAGATCAAGCTGTGAAATGGAGTTAAAAGTGGGAAGTTACCAGCCTCGAGGAGGTAATTGCGTTGGAGGTTCCCTGGTAGTTTTGCAGTTTTGAAGTGGCAGAATGTTTGTTAGCTTTCCACTCATTTTTCAGCAACATTTTATGTTTATACTTGAATTTTTTTCTAGTGAGAGCAAACTTTTCAGTTGAAGTAACTCTTAGCAGCAAGATGCTTTGAAGAAGCTTGCAAAATAAACAGAGGACAGTAATGGCTCTACTTAGTGTGAGTTGCCTTTTTCCTTTTCTTTGCTTGTCTTCCAGAAACAAGAGTGATTGCCTTAAAAGATAATGTTTTCTGCATTGGTGGTCTTTTTGGCGAAAACGTAGCTATTTCGGGTTTGTGGAGCAACTGTAATGATGTTGACATAGTTATTTTTCTCCTGATGTTATGTTTGTATTTTCCTTGAGAAGGAAAACTGTTCTATCATATTAAAAACAAACAACAAAAGAAGCTAATTTTACCAAACTTGGAGTGTAAGAGAATCACCTTTTTTTCTGAAAGCAACTGGAACATGGCATTTTTGTCTGTCACTCAGCCTTTGAATGCTGAAAAAAGGCATAAGGTGTCCCTGCTGCTGCTGAAATATACAGAGCGTGATTTTTGTAAAGAAATGCTAGATTTGCCAAACAGTTATGGTATGAAGAGCATGTGAGGTTTTGGAAAACCTCTGGGTGCCTCTTGGGGACCCACATTGTCAGGTTATGTTCTTCTTTAAAAAGCGAAGCAGCTAATAGTTGCTATAAAGTTATTTATTGTAGAAGCACATCAGTCTCAAAAGCGAAAGTCACAGACAACAAAGTCCATGCTAAGTTCTAGCTTAGAGTCCCAAACAGAAGCAGAAACTCCCTGTGGTTCCAGCAGGGCCAGAGGAGCTGGGCAGCTCCTATCTTCTTCTTGGGTGTTGATGACAGCGGCGAGAGCAGAAACAAAAGCAAAGCAAAAGCAATGGCATAAAAAGCAATGGCAAAAAGCAATGGCTCTTCCCGAGCATGTTCTTTTATAGGAACTTAGAAGCAAGCTAAGACACAAACCCAGACCACTACTTCTTAACCTATTATAATTCTAGTTTCTTAGCATGCCAGGCTACGTATAGACTACGTACATGGCCTGTCTTATTCTAACTGAAAAATGTAAGCAATATTCTTAACTCTAACTCTGTTATGTCTGAAGCTAGGTTCTTGGAGCCTCTAAGGAAACACTAGTATGTTTTTCAACCTTCACTAGAACATGTACTACTTCTCAGGCATCTAACACCTTTTACTCACTAAAAGCACTTAAAACTTATTTCAATTACTTACTCACTTATGCTACAACCTAAACCTTTACCTCTGCTTTGTGTGTGAGAGGCTTAACATACTTCAGTCCATCAAATGGCTTTAATTCAATCCCTGCATTCTGCTCTCTCTCTGAAGGATTCTGAGAAACTCCTGCTTTACTGACTCCAACAAAAGCAGATCTTTGTGCCTTAATGTTTTCCTTGATTCTTCTGCTGTGCTTAGATCTGGGCAACAGTCTTCCCAACTTCAGCCAGGGGTCTCTGACTTCTTCCACCTCATCTGCTCTACCTGCTAGATACTTGGCTTCTAGCACTCTCTCCTGCTGCTGAACAAGGCTAATATATTCTCTTGTATTGCTGTAATTTTATGAGAGCAGCAAAGGTTTTGTAAACAATAGATGTGAGTATGAAGTGGAGAAAAATCTTAAAGTATGGTCTGCAGGAGATTGGAGCATAGTCAGTTCTTGAAGATTGAGGGACTGCAGATTTCTAACTATGCAAATTGTGGACTGGAGGACAGGCAGAAAGAATTTGATGGACTAAAATAAATTTAGGATTCTCCAATCTCGTTCTGTAGCTTGTAAGTACTAGCTGCTTATGAGCTCCTAGCATATTTTACTACAGCTACATACGCAGTAAGGAATTTAATTACTTTTATCAACAGAAGGATAGGGAGGACAGTACTGGTGTCTTGTGTCTGGAGGGTAGTATCTGTCACTGGAAGTGGCTTTTTTTCCTGTGCATTTTCCATGCCAGAGTGCAAACTGGCTTGTTTGTTCATTATAAGTGCTAGTCCAGCAGCATTCAACGTTTACTCTGATCTGACATACAGTTTTGGCTTCCACAGTTTAGAATTGAAGAATATTCAGTTTTCTGCTAGAAGGGTATCATGTCCTGTAATTTTTTATAGCAATTTATATCTTTGATATAGAGGAAAATCTGTAGTGCAGAATTTAATTTTCAGATCTTTGTAACTGTGCCGTCTTCTTGCTTATTTCTGTTAGAAAAGATTACAAAGAAATCTCTCTGCTGTTGTGGTAACATGTATAGAGAAGAGAGGATTAGTTGTGGGCATGCACTTTTGAGACTCAGCTTTTTCAAGTCAAGGATTTGCCTACAGAATGAAGAGATAAGGTGTGTGTGTGTGTGCGTTTAAAAAAAAAAACTTGTTTTTTCTAGGCTTGCTTTCATATTCTAGTGTTTCTAGAGATGTGTCATTATTTGAATTGATGCTTGTACCTAATGCTAAAACAGCATTTCATATTGCAAAATTTACAGAATCACAGAATCGATTAGGTTCGAAAAGATTTCTGAGATTGAGTCCAACCTACAACCACACCACCTTGTCAATCATACCATGGCACCAAGTGGCCATGTCCAGTCTTTCCTTAAACACTTCCTGGGACAGTTACTTCACGACCTAATTGCCTCCAGGCACCTAACTGAAAGATTGAACACTTTGAGTCTCTTGTTACACTTGAAGCTAAAACAAATTTAAGAGGTTAAAGTCACAGCAAACTTAGTGAGGTAGAGGTTTTAGTTCTATTTTAAAATGGCTCTTTGCATGTTGGATTACAATTCATTCTTTTCAGGAAGATCAGTATGCATGTGGATGGTGTTCTCTCACTAAGTTTATCAGAAAATAAAATGTGCAAAACCAAATGTAATACTGAAATCTTGAAACAAGAATGAAAATAAAAGGGAAAAGAGAATCTCACTGATTTTCTGAATAAGCAGGTTGCAGCACTATGGGAGGGCTGTGGTGGATCTGCTGGCTGGACATGGGCTATATGGAAGAGCTCCCAGATGTGCTTACATGTGCTCTGACTCGATTTCTTCCTTCTCACTACTTTATTCACACGATTGATCGTTTCAGCAGTAGGAGGGCTTTGTCTGAATACTGTTAAGATTGTGGCTGCATACAGAGCAGGAGGCACTGAACAAGCAACAGATGTCAAGCAGATTTCAGTAGGAAGTCTGGTCTCATTTTTTCAGGGCTCACAGGCAAGGAGGTTACATGGTAAGGATGGGAGGAGTGTATGTTTGAAGAACTGCTGCTGCAACTCTGATTTGACCTATTCCAGAGCTATAGCATGCTACTTCTGTAGCAGAGTTGCACACAGTGTGATGAAATGGAGATCGCTGTGAGTCAGGAAGACAATAAATTATAACTGTGTAGCTATGACAGCTCAGTAGGACCACCTATGGATGCAAAAAGCATTACATACTTTTAAGAACCCTTGACATGAGATAATTTTTTACCAGTTCAATGAAAACTTAGTCAAATGAGCACATAAAGCTTGGAGAGGAAAATATTTCTTTTATACAGGAGATAAAACTGCACAGACAAATGTGTGCTGTCAGCAGAACAAATTTTATTTCAAATGCAGAGCTTTAAGATTGAAAATATAATCTGTGAGAGTGAAAATTTTTTTAGGAAGACTTTTCTGTATAGACAAGCTTTTCAGTAAAGTGTTTATTAACACACAAAAATAGCTTTCTGTTTAAAATACACAGTATCAAATTAGAAGCAAAATTACCATCATCAGTGGAGATTATATGCAGCGGTAGGAATTACCTTGTGTTTTTGTAGTGGATCTTTCCACATTAAAAGATTAATCTCCCCTCTAATTTTAGAATATATTCATTTTAGGTGGACAAGTCTCCATTTTTCAGATAGTTCAAAAGTCATGCAGTAAAAGATATTCTGGACCTAAAATATGAACAATAATACATGAATTCTAATATCATAGCACTGTGGTTATTTTGTAATGCATGTATGATAATCATAACTCTTGGGAGAAGTATTTTATACTTTCATTGCGTACTGGAGCTTTTGTGTAGATTTTTGTGGGTCAGTCTCATTAGTCCAAATAAGCTACTTGAAATACTTACAGGATAAACAAAACACTTTCTAAAAACACAAAAATTCAATATTTGGAACCCCCAGAAGTTGAAGAGTTAATGGTGGGGTTGCACTGGATTCAAGTTATTCGCAGATGTTACTGCAACCAGCTGCTGATTTTTCTCCCATCCTGTCAGGGAACTCTGCCAGTCATGATTCATGGAACGATTTTTTTGCGCTGAGTAATCTGTGGTTTTTCTTTTTTCCGCTTCCCTCTCCCTTATTTTTATCCTGAACTAAAGCAGTGTTCATTCCAGCTAAAAGGAGGAGAAGCTTCTAAAGCATTAATACAAAACATTAAATACACTGGGTTCTGGGTGGAGGAGTTGTAACAAGCACTAAACTTAAGTAATTTTACTTGGTTTTAGGGAGTCTAGTCCAGTGTAGGAAAACAGTTTTAGAACAGAATCAGCTTTTGATTTTGCTAGTCATGTGGTTTCACAGTGCTCTTAAGACTTCTGTACTAGTATTGCTAAAGAACATCCAACTTCTGTGCTGATATTATACTTCCTTTCTCACAGATCGCTCAGAAAGAAATAAACCAGACTGCCGCTCTTCAGGGTAAGAACTGTATTTCTCCATTTACTCTTCCCTTTTCATTATTTTTTTTCCTCCTTATTTTTTCCTTTTATTGGGTGAACTAGGAAATTGGCTAGAAATATAATAATGTCATTCTTTTACTTCTGTTTTGATAACAGGAATGTAATACCAAAATAAGTTTGTGTTAAAAATAATTGTTTTATATTCCTTATGGGCAAATTTTTTTTTCAAGAAATTAATAGGACTTGCTACATTGTAATTGTGTACACTTAAACTCCAAATGCTTGTTTATGTATCATGCACAGGGTTGTTTGGTAAAACCGTGGTTTGAAACAAGAAGCCCTTCATTTGCTACTTTGAACTGCTTGCTTCTATAGCAAGGAAAATAATTCTTAGTTCAGTCAAAAATAGCAACACTTTATTATTTATTCCATTAACTCTGATCCCATCACACCTAAGGTTTCCCAAGAAGCAGATGAAAGTGTTTTAAACAAAACACTCGTGCACACACATTGTGTTTATTTAGAATTTCCATCAGGACTTGCCATGAATTTCTAGGCTATTGATTTGCAAGGCTGTGTTTTTCCTTAAGCTTCTGAATATTCTGTAGTTATTCTTATCCTCTGATTTTTAAATAATCTTTTTCTCTATTGCCTCATTTTCAAACTCTCTCTCTATCAATTCTTCACTGGGAAACAGGATTTTGTCCATGTCATGTGGTGGATAGTAGAATTTTAATGAACTAAAGTGATAGAGCAGACCAGCAAACACTGGCTCTCCCATTCCTTTGTGAAAAGTCTTTCCAAAAAATAACTCCTGGTGTCCAGGTTTTTGACATGACCTGACCTTTTCATTTGACTTTTACAGTCTAATTTTTTTTTTGGTACATTTTTACGATACAGTGGGCTAGCATTTATAGCTGGAAGAACAGTGTAGCATTTTCTTGCAGCACACTTGATGCATTGCATCAGTTGTGTGATATGATGGGAGAGGATGTTTTTCCCTTCTCTCTTCCATCTGCCACAGCACTATAGTTGATTCCAGCAGTGTGTTTAAGTTGCAGGGGAGTATTACCTTTTTCTTTGAATCCTTTTATCTGCTTAAAAGCTCAATCACTGCATGTGCTTTCTTCCTTTAGTACTTAAAAATATTAAACTTTTTTCTTTTCTTAAAATGATGTGGTTACAGCCTAAATGTTAGAACTTCCATTAGATCATGTTATATTGCAATAATGCCAAATAAATCCAAACCATTATCAAAAAGAGATACAATTTTATCAAAATGTATAATTTAAGGTTGAAACAGCTTCAGTCTCTTCCCCTTTCTTCTCTCTAGTTCACTCTCACCAGTACCTTTTTGCTCTGGAGTATGTTTTAGAAGTTTGAATTTGGACAAAAAGTAAAGTAGAACACCAGATTTTTTTCCATGGAATTGGCAAGTCAAATATGGACCAGCTTTAGCAATAAAACACTGCCCTAAGTTGTCTGGACTACAGTCTCCAAATTTTCATGTAAAAAGCACAGAATAATTAACAGTATAATGTAGCTTGCTCATAATGTTGAGAGAAATGCAGCTTTCAGTAGTCTTTCATTCTTGTCACTAGTGCATGTGCTTCTTGACCAAAACTATGCATCTTCTACTCCCTTCTCAGTCTCACTGGCCATTGTCTCAGGAGCTTTGAGGAAGAAAAGCCACTATTTAAAGGGTAGAGTTGTTTTGTGCATGATTCACTGCTGTTTCCAGACTGGAACAGGAGCAGCCTGCCTTACTTAAATGATGTACTCTGCTAATGGGTATTACTACACACATTTGTTAATCTCTCATTATAGTTGGAAGCATTATTCTGTGGTGACAAACTGCTGGGTGAGATTCTTATCCCGAGTCTGGCCATTTCATGCCTAGGGAAAAGACCTGCAGTTGCATCAAGGCCAGAACCCCTTAATACAATACCTGAGGGAAAACTAAATTGTGAAGTATGCAAGACTAAAACTGAACTGCAAAGCATACTTCTCTTGTAACATGGGCAGCATTTCTGAGCTGTTTGAATTCTACTGGGGATGGTTTTATGCCATTTTGTGATGAGCTACTTCATTTAGTACACTATCCTCTCTGGGAGCAATTCATGACAAGGGAAGAAGACAATACAGTGGTCGACAGGCATCTTGGCTGCTTATTCCTTACACTGCATGTTGAGGGATGCATATCTTAAAAACACAAGATACTATCCCTCTCATGATCTCAAGTGGAAAAAAATGACACTGCAGGTCTTGAACTCAAGGTCTAGAAACAAGAGTTTCTGCACTAGAATTCCTTTGAAATACTGGAGGTGGACATGGGGTGACCAACTGACAAGATGAAGAAATAAGTAGTGAGCCTTAAGAAAGGTAGATAACCTAAGATGAAATAGCAGATGTAGATGTTTCCAGGAGAGAGCCAGAGAAGCAGTTTATTGTTGAATATAAAACTCTGGTGAGATCTTGCCCAGAAGTCTGTCAAGTCTAAGTAAAAATGTGGAACACTGGGATAAGAAGGGACAAAAAAAGGCCTAGATATCCACCACCAACTCTTCATCATGCATTGTAAGGTTAGGTTTTGGTCTGGAACATAATCATCATAATAAAAACGTAACAATATTTCTTATGATTTCAAGGGTCTAAAGCTTGACCTTTCCAACCTCCTATTTTTATATATTTCTCTGCCTGTGTGTTTCTAGATGTATTTCAAGCTTGTGTTTGAGTCTTTGCAGTATTAGGGATGAATAGTTTATATACAGTGAGACAAGGATCAGTTTTAAAGCATACCTTGGACATAATACATTTGCAATGGAACATATATAAAAAAACCTGTTCTAGGTAGAACAGTATCTAAATGGTCATTAACATAGTTACTTAATTATAGGATGATGCCATTTAGAAGAATTTTTACAGCAGTATCAGGAACTCTGACAAATATTCTGGTTTGGTTATTAGCCTATCAAATGTTTCGCATGGGAGACATGCTACAGAAAGAGGGAACTTTCTGAGGGTGATACAGGGATCTAGCACAGAATGCGGAAGAAATCTGGAGAGTGAATGAACCAAAGACCATAGATAATTATTTAAAGGGAAGGAAACAGACACTAGGTAACAGTTACAAAATGTGCATTATTATATTATCTTCAGCTTCTTTTGGCAATTATCAACCATCTGACACTCAGGAGAGTTTAGAGAAAGCAAGGAGTAGTAGAACAGGGCCTGTGTATCTGTTTTGTGCACTGCTCTGCACTGATTTTTTTTGGTAAATATAGCACATTAGTAAGATCAAAACAAATGTTCACTGAATCGAAATAAAACCTATTGCTATGTTAAATTTTAATCAAGAAACATTTAGTTTTATGAGCTAATAGCCGTCCTTCAGTTGTTACATTTCAGACAGTATTAAAATATATCTCTGCTGGTAACATTGGTCTGTAATTATAATTCTTGATTTTACTGTCAGGTCATTCTTGTACTGCTGTCTCTGATAGCTTCAGGTCATATACTGCTGTAACACAGGTCAATTAGGTCAAAAGAAAAAAGAAAAGTAGATCTTTATTCCTCTAAATGTTTTCAAACTGAAAATTATATTATAGAAATAGAATAGAATATTTCAGGCATCTGCATATTTGCAGTTAATCTCTGAACATGAGTAAAGCTTGTAGAAGGAACTGGATTTTTTTTTTCTTCTTTTGGTTAAGGATTATGGATGAAAAAATCCTTTAATGCAGCCCTGTAATTTGATACGTCATTGTAGTTCCCTTGACCTTGGAGATGAGAGGATGAAGGTAGCTAACAGCTGCAGCAATTTATTGAGAGATTTAGTAGGGTATCAATCACTTGAAGTCAAGTAAGAAAATTTAATTTTTAGAATATCAGTGTCTACTGTGAAAAATGGGGAGGGGAATGAAAAGAATCATTTCTAGAAACAAATCCTAGGTTTTACTGCATATAGTCTGCCTGCTGACTGCAATGTGCTTAAGTTCTTTTACAGCTGGTTGCCTTCATTTGATTGCAGTAAACTAAGCTTTTTTTATTTAAAATTCATCAAGTCAACAATGCAAATAGACAAGAGTTTTTTGTTCCTTTATAAACAAGCACTTGCAGTGGTTGATCAAAGGGGCTACTGATCCCCTTAGTGAAGTTCTGGTAAATCAAGTGATCGTTTTTATGAATGGTATTTTGTATCCGACTTTTGTTTTAGTTGTTTGGGTTTTTTTTTAGTGTAGCAGAATTCCATTCGTGAAAGCTTCTCTGCATTTCTATTTCCACTGCTATATAATGTTGATTTTGTGAAATTGCGTTTAAGAATTACTGCAGTAACAGTCTGACTATATTTTAATCATCTGTGAAGCCTGAAAAGACATCCTTTAATGAAGATCTTAAGCGTTTAACAGAGCATGAAGGGAATCTTAAGGCACTGGCTTGAGAATGTGGTGGAACTGTCCCTACTTTATAATTAAAATGAGGTGGTTTTACAAATCAATATGCTTTTGAGGTCTTCAGAAAAAAGACAGTAACAGGTTTTCTATGTTGTAACCATTACAGTTTAGTCATTTAATAGTTTCACAGGATCATAGAATGTGAGTTGGAAAGTATCTACAAAGATCATTGAAATCCAGCCCCTGGCCCTGCACAGAACCATCCCCAAGTGTCACACCATGGGCCTGAGAGCATTATCCGAATGATGCTTGAACTCTGTCAGGCTTGGTGCTGTGACCACTTCCCTGGGGAGCCTGTTCCCAGCCTGGTGCCCAACCACCGTCTGTGTGAAGAACCTTTTCCTAATATCAAACCTAAACCTCCCCTGACAGAGCTTCAGGCCATTCCCCCAGGTCCTGTCATTGGTCACCACAGAGATCGGTGTCTGCTCCTCCTCTTCCCCTCATGAGGGAGGTTGTAGTCTTCAATGAGGTCTCCCCTCCGTCTCCTCCAGGCTGAACAGACCAAGTGACCTCAGCCACTGCTCACACAGCTTCCCCTCAAGGCCCTTTGCCATCCTTGTTG